AGTGTCTTTCTCTCCCACATACACACACACACACACAAGCATGGCCTATATAGTATCACTGATAGTATAATAATTATACCAGCTCAATTATCAAAACTCAGTGACAGCGCGCGACCGTTTCTGAAAACTTTTGTCGCACCGGCGGGTTTTAATTTAGAGTTTAAACTGCAGATTCGTGCCTTTACCTGACAGAGTAACAAGTGTGAAGTACGTGTGACGTTTTTTGTTGTTAGAAAATAGTGCAACTAGCGTCGCCCACCACGACATTTTCTGCCCACGAACACGCATTTTGTGAAACTGGTTGGATTTTGTGTCAGACGCGACGCACGCGCGCGCTCATACCTCTCACCAGCGGCACCGTAAGGTGGATTTATCGGTCGAAAACAAGCCAGCTCGAGGCAAACGAGCGAGTTTTTGACCACGTTTCAGTCAACCTGACGCGTTATCGGTGTCAAACTGGACAAATGATGCAAAACAATAACTTTAGCAGCATCAAAAACACACCGACACACAGGCGCAAACACACCCACCCCGAGTCTGTCTATCATTGGTAGGAAAGCACTGGGGCACTTTTTTTGTTTATTTATTTTTACTGTGCGCCTATCTGTGTCACGGTTGACGGACTTACCCCCGAGCAGACGGTGTCGGTTTGGCGCTTTCTCCATCGCCGTGTGGGTCCCGGTGCTCGAGGAGCGAGCGGACGGTCTCCGCCATGTTCACGCCAGCAGTGGCTGATCTTCCGCCGCTTCGCCCGTTCAGCCTCTCGCTCTTCTCTCCAGCCGCCTCACACCAAGGTTATTACGGCTGCTTCCACCGCGGCTGAACYGAGGGGTCCGCGTCTCGCAGTGGACAACAAAATACCCCCCTAAAGCAGCGTAACGGGTCGTATTATTCAGCTACGGCCAGAGGAAAGACACATTCAAATATTCATTTTTAAACGTGATCACCATGTAAGGCTGCTGGATACTTTTATTGAAATAGGGAGATGTGCGCCACCCCCGCGGAGGAATATGGACGCACTCACCGAGCAGATGAAAAAAGTAAACCGTTTCTAAGAAGAGTGATTAACTCGCCATCCCAGAGAAGAAATTGCTGTAATATAAGATGAGATTAAACTAAAAATACATATTTATGTAAATTTTGTCTTTTATAGAGAATAATGAAAAATTGGGGGCTAAATGGAAAACGTTTTTTTTTTCAACACAATGTTTTCACTTAATCAACAGGTGAGCAAAATAGCCTACCTTGTATCTATCATAAATGAATAATGAATTATTATTATTATTATTAAAAATGCTGCTTAGAAAACGAAAGGCTGGGATTGACAGTTTGCTTTGCCGGAGACAACAATGTGATCACAATGACATAAAAATGGATTACATTATTATTAACTTGGGACAGTTGTGTTGATATCACTGGGAATCATAAAAAGCCGTTTTATCTGTAAATTATCAAAATTTACAGTAAGCTAAAAGGCCATGGTTTGGATGCTTTAGACAAATGTTTWGACACATGAAGTGATTCAACGTAAATTATGATAAATGAGCTCTCTGTTAACTCGGTCTCCATTCCTGTCCTCAGCTATGATCACAAACTCAAGAACAAGAGCACAAATACGCTTTAAAAATGAAATGTTGGATTTACTTAACCATGTTATGTCAACTGGTTCCACTTAACTGAGTTGAGTAAATTCAAAGCAAATACACCAGTTTTTTTTTAACCAAAGAACATGAGTATGTTGCTTTGAATTAACTCAACTCAGTTAAGTGGAACGGGGTCACACAACATGGTTAAGTAAATCCAACATTTCATTTTTAGAGTGTATCTGTGTGTGACTTGAAATAGAGTCACAGCTCCTCCACATCAGAGAAACAAGTTGAGGTGGTTCAGGCATCTGGTAAGGAAGCCCCCCCAGAGCGACTCCCTTGTGTTCTGGGCATGTCCAACTTCGAGGAGACCGGAGGACTTGCTGGAGAGACAATCTCACGGCTGGCCTGAGCGATCCTCCAAGTAGAACTGGCAGAGGTCTATTTGTGTGGCTCACTTGACCKACARGACTCAGATYCCACAAAGAATAATGGSCCTTTGGTGGCCCAGATGTGCTTTCCAGATGTGGTCCATGCATGGGCCACCATCGCACAAYKCAGATCACAACTGGGCCAGTCTTAAAAACAGCGCCATTGTTGCCAGACCTGGCCCACGTCATGTTGACAAACCACTTGTCATGTCAGCAGTCAGCCAGCAGTGCCAGCTGGACACCAGATCAGGCCCACATCTGTCTGCTGTGGGAGGGGATTGTGAAAAGAGACGTCTGGGCCACTCTGCTCAAGCTGTGACTCAACTCCAGATAACAAATGGATACGTGAGATTTATTTTTGTCTCCGATACCAYTAAGTAATGAAAATGATACAGGAACAGTCTAAAGATGTATTCTCCAAACACTGTTCCTTTGAAGACCTTGACATCCCAGTAGTTTGACAGCTGGTTTTATGAAATTGCAGCATCAAGATCAGTGGTGTCCAATCCTGGTCTATGAGGGCCTTTATCCTGCCTAAGTCAATGGTTGAATTGCCTCTTCAAGTTCTTCAGAAGCCTGTTAATCATTTATTCATTAAAATCAGGTGTGTTGGAGCCCAAAAAAACCTCAAAAACATGCAAAACAGCAGCCCTTGAGGACCAGGATTGAACACCCCTGATCTAGATGTTCCACATTTAATATGGAGCAGTCCCAGTTTACAGCTCTAAGCTACTCATGCTGTGGCTGACACGTGTCATATACTTTTTWAAAAACAAAATACAGGACATAAAACTCACAAACACAGGCTTTGGTGTCAAGCACTGTTATTCTAAGCTACCGCAAAAGAATATTGAGACATTTCATTTAAGCGTGATGAAGATGCAGTAGTGCTGGAACAAGGAGTCACTTGCAAAGTAGTTTTAAACTTGTACGAAGACACACACTAAAGGTTGCAGCAGTCGTCACAAAGCTGGAAGTGAACACACAACAGAGACGAGACAAAGGAAGAAAGATGAGAGAAAAATGAATGGAGATCTGCAGAATGACTTCAGTTTAATTGTAATTCTGGTCTGTTTGTGTGCACACACTATCATGAGCACTTCATCACTCGCACTAATACACCCGATAAGTGTGTGTGCGTGTCTGTGTGTGTGTGATCACTATACACAAACGCACAACTGCACACACACACACACACACACACACACACACACACACACACACACAGACACAATTACACAAACCTTACTAAGGACAAACACTCTTGCATGGACAAAGTGTGCATGCGTACTGCAGCACACTGTTGTACAATCCACACAAACTACACACAAATACACACAAACATAGTTTGAATAAAGGACACACACCCTCTTCCACAGCACGAACACAACCACACACACATGCACACAACCACACACACACTGCATTCATTTCCCTTTCATTCAGCACAGGCACATATTGTGCTGCTGTAACACACAGACTCTCTCTCACACACACACACACATACACAGCACACACACACACACACTGACAGACACACACACAGACACACACCATTTGCAGAGCTTGCTCCTAGCTCTCCCCCCCCACACACACACACCCCTCCCCCTCTATCTCTGTCAGACACACACACAGACACACACCATTTGCAGAGCTTGCTCCTAGCTCTCCCCCCCCACACACACACACCCCCACACACACACACACACACACACACACACACACACA